TTTCTTTGAATGGGGGTGCCCCAACTAGAGTTCCATGCTGTCTTCGATAAAGGACACTCATTTTACTTTCTTTAAAGTACAGCAAGGTCTTCTGAAGAAATCTGTTTCACTACAAAGCGGAAGTGGAAATGACTCTCATACTGGACTCCACCAAAACTACCTTGTAAAATTAGCTTGAGCAAAACCTTCTGCTTTAACAAATCAAGAACCACCACCCCTCCATGTGCTTTCCACAAAGTCCATCCTCTTTATATCCCTATTAATTTCATAACTGAAGTCTAGTCTCCTTTACCTTTCAGTAAAGCCCACCCTGACCAATGAGTGTCCAAAGGGCATCAAGGAAGGAGAGGGTCAGGATCCCAGAAATGGTCCCTGGGTTAGGACCGTGATCTGGGGGGATGGGAGTCAAGAGGGTCAGTGGAACAGGCTGGACTCTTGGCGCTGTCCGCGGTGCTGAATGTTATGCTTTCCACTCCCCCACCTCCCCCCACCACAGTAATATACGCTGAGTCCAGAACATTGACAAATGGCAACTAACTGCAGTGAGATGATAAATAGCAAGTGTTGCAAAGATCAGTGCATTAAAACATCCGTGTTTGCAGTGAGCGTGCCTATCGCTGGGGTCCAAAGAGGTTTACACCAGAAAGTGAGAATCAGAACTTCTCAAAATTTATACTCTTCATATGCTTTTTGCACTCAGAATTTTTTTCATTAGATTTGTCTGTTACTGGACTTCAATATGAGAACACAGAGACTGACTGTATTATTTGGTTAATAAATTAATATTAACCAAACACCCAGCGTGTACCAGGCATTGTGACAGGCGTGGGGTTATAAACCTATATAAGGTATAGGTTCCTCAAAACAAAAGAGAAGAGAGTTTTATAAAGGTAGCAATTAACGTGCAAGACAGAAAATTTATAATTTTGGACCAAGATGTTCTCCCTCTGTGGCTTTGACGTCAATAATCTAAGCTCTCTCTTCTCCAAACTTCCAATCACAAAAGACCTCTAGCCCTACTGTCACTGGAGAAGCATCTGCTCCAGCAGTTCAGTTTTTGGATCGCTTCTCTTTTTGGCAATGGCAATCCAGAAAGATAATCATTCCAAGTATGGGTTTTATGACTTGTTTCCAAGCGAGAAGGAAAAAATAGGGACATTCCATAATGGCACTTTGTGTTCCCTGTCCTGTAGAAAGGACTTATCTGTTGTGTCTGTATTTGGAGAACACATTTATTCAGATTCTGCAACACAATTATTAATGTGACCATAAAATCATCAGCGAAGCCAAACCCTACATTTTGTAAGCCCCAGGGACAATTAGATGGATTATCAAAGCAATAAGCACAAGGGGTTACACAGTTTAAGACCTCTACTAAGAACGCCCTCACGCTTAATAAAATTGTAGTGGACATACCTTGATTAACAATAGCTACTGGAGGCAGCCTGTGACTTAACCATATGACACAAGGACAACACTTTAACTTTTATCCACAAATTAATCTCTCACTGACATCCATCTTTATGAACTACCTTTTTGGACTCCAAAGATTTGAATCCTTTCAAAAAGAAAGGTCCTTAACAAAACCATGGAAACATCCTGAAGGGTCTTCCCAAGAATAGTTCGTGGCAATGAGATCTTGAAAACACTTCTCACACATGGTGGCAATATGGCGGACCACCAAATTGTCATTTAAATTAGCTAGAAAAGCGGGGACCACACACAGATACGTCACTCTATAAAGCAGATATTATGACTCACTCGATTCTAATCAACAGGCATCAGCCAAACCGTACTGTATCTCAGGATTGTGTGAGTTAGGCTGGGCTACAAATCAAAGAAGGGAGAAAAAAGAAATTGAATGCAAATGATGTGATAGAAAGGGAGGAGTGAGAGTAAAGGTTAGGAGGAATAGGTTCCATGTCATTCTGTCATCCACGTATAAATAAACCTCTACAGTGGCTTCCCATTAAATTTACAACAATGTCCAAAGAGCTTCCTATTTTATAGGATCTGTTCTCACCTCCCGCCTCTCTCATGTGCCCCAGCTATTCTAGCCACACTGGCCCTTTTATCTGTCCTGCAAACATGCCAACATCATTCCCATGACGACGTTCACAAGTGATGGCCCTTTTGTTTGCAAAACTCATCTCTAGATCTGGAGATGACTAACTGCTCTTTCATTATCATCCAGGTCTCATTCCAAATGCAGGGTCCTCGGGGGGCTTAGCCAAAGCCACCCGTACAACATTTCCTTAACAACGAGCCGTATCCAAAGCCATTCATTCATTCGTTCATGTGTTCATGTGTTGCCTGTCTGGCTCTCCCACTCTGCTGTAAGCTTCGAGGACAAGGACACAATCTTATTCCAAAATGTCTCCTCAGTAGCCAGAATAATGTCTGACACCTAATGGCACTTAATCATTATTTGCTTACTGATTGTAACAGGGGAAAAATGCGTGCTTTTTGCCAAGTGATAAGAATAGTCTGTTCAGAAAGGGCTTTAAAAAGAGCAGTTTATAACTGAAGAACCCCAAGGTCCTGGAAGAGAGTTCTCTTGTGCGTTTCAGGTGCCTGAAGTCTCTGTCCTGTCAGTGCTGGACTCACTGACTATCCCAAGGTGGCAGTCATACAAAGTGCAGAACACAGGTCCCAGGGTTCGAGCAGGGCATCACGGAGCATCAGAAGCCTGGGGTCTAAGAATAATGAGATCCCAGACCTGAAGTGTTGCTATATTCTCCTCTGTAAAATGAGGTTGCGTAATTAATTCGAGGACTCGCGGCTCTAATGTAAGTGAGACACTTGGGAACTCCATGCTCCTGGGCAAGGAAGGGGTGTTGGTGTCGATGAGAGCTGATGCAGATTCTTCCTGAGGTCTCGAGCAGGAAAGTTCTGCAAGCATGGAAGTCGGATTTTCCTTAGAGCCCAGTAAGCGTGCCCCTCAAATAAAGGTTAGGAAGTGCCCTTGATTTCGTCTGTTTTCTTTTAAAAGCCTAAACTTTAGAATGTGACTAGGGCATACAGAAAACTATTACATATCCCCTTCCCTGGCTGGTGCTTAACACACACCAATGAACACACAGAGGAGCTGTCCCTCGTCTGCAGCCCAGCCTAACAGCGGGACAGACACGTCCTGCAGCAAACATGTCATTGCCAGGACTTGTGCTCAAGTACCATGCTTATTTTACCATACAAAATGACCGTGGTCAGACATGAGCTTAGGACAGAGCTCCAGTAAAATCAGTGGGATGGAGAAAGGCCTTTTATATATAATAAGGCATGGGAGAATGGAGGTCAACGTCTAACACAGAGGCCCCTTGGTATGGGTTCGACAAATCTGGAGCCAGGGAGGAAGGTTCAGGAGGAATGTACCCTTGGGGCTTGTCATCAGGAGGAAAGGGCTAAGGAAAAGAGGAAGGTGTGATGCACAAGCTCTTCCCTGTTTCCTTCCTGACAAAGCTCAGGGGAGAGGAAAAGACCCCAAGTGGGCATCCAAAGGCGTCCGAAATGGGGGACAGAGGTCAACACAAACGCAGCCACAGTGACTCCAACTCTGGCTCGAATATCATGGGCCACAGGCGCTGACTGGCGACACTTTAGGACAGAATATTGTCACTTGATTAATAAATAAAATGCACAGAACTCAAAGGTCAAGTCCGAGTTCACCAAAGCTCACTGCAACAACGTGGCATGGATAGGAAAATCCTTTTGTCAAATGTTTATGCAACACCAAATATAATGAGGAAAACAAAAGTTAATTTCAATTCAAAATCCATGATGCGTGCAAGAGAAGTTTACATAGGGAAGGCGATAAAATATCGACTATCCATGTTGACAGAAAACCTTCTGAGCACTATTATTATGTTGAGTCACTCTCCAAACGTAAATATGCCCCCGAAGTATGTATGAGCCAATTCAGATGGAAGCTTTTCTTCTGCCACTGATTTAACAGATTCTGGTTAGCACGTTTGTCCCTTAGCACAAAGTAATATTCAGAATAAAATACACCTGCACGTTAAAACTATCAGAGAGGGAAGGCCGGCCAAAGTGGTAGGAAAAACATTATGAAAGCTCCCCAAAACTAGCTTCTTGGGGTGACTGGGCTGAGAAAGAGTCAAGAAAATCCTTTCATCAAACCCTTAAGTCTATACAACCTTCCAGAATATACTCCAAAAAATACTCTAAGGTTATTTCTGTTAATGGGAAGAGAATCAGCACCCCTACCTCTCCTCCTAAAAACGTCTAGTCTCATAGGGCTGACAGAACTCACCAGAGAATGTAGCCAGGGACGGTGTCAGAAGGCACTGACAATGCAGCACGACACTCTACCACATAAGTCAGCAAATTTTTTTCTCTGAAGAGCTAGAGAGTGAGTATCCTGGGATTTGCAGACCAAGGGTATTGTAGCTACTAATGTAAAAATGTTCACTATTCTTTATTATCAAAACTTAAAACTTTATTTATGGACACTGAAAAGTTAATTTCATTAGTTTTCACGTGTTCCAAATATTATTATTCTTTCAATCTTTCTCAACCATTTATGAATGTAAAATTCACTCTTAGCTTGCTGGCTCAGAGTGGGATTCGCCTGAGGACCCCAGTCTGCAGACTCCTCCTCTCGCAGGCCGAGGGGTGGTGGGGCAGAAACAAGTCAGAAGATCTGGGGTTGGTTTCCCATCGAAGTTTCTTTTAAACACCATAAAGATCAAGCTGCACTGAAACATCCCAAATTCCCTTTGCTTATAACAAAATCAGATTATTTACTTCATCCAGTAGTTTATGTTCGCATCCTAGATTTAATTTAAGTATCAGCTATAGAGGTTGCATTGGTCGTATACAATAAATGCAGAGACAGGAGCAAAATGGGAAACACACTGATCGATTTCTATTACCATAACGAGCAATGGCATTGGGAAAGAATCTGATTGGAGCTGTGTGCTCTAGAGAAGCCAGCAGCCAGCAGCCACCACGTGTAATGCTCTCCTGTTCTTATCTTGTAGGCTTTCATATCGGACTGGGCAAGACACAGCTAATTGTGACACATGCAGGAACAGTGCATGTATTATCTATAGGTATGTCAACGTTCTCCTCTTCCCACTTTGTTATTATGAGTGACAAATGATGTTTACCCACGAATGCAAGAATCATCTGGGATCATGCTGGGGTGATTATATCAGACAGAAAGTAAAGAACCTTTCCTGACCAGAATTCTAGGCTGCTTCTAAATACTCAACCTCACATACAGAATCACGGGATGAGGGAGAGCTTGAACCCATGGATCTGGCAAACGTATCTTAGCAGTGTTTCCAAAATCGGTGTAAGTTCGATGGCTTGCTCCCTCAGAATCGACAGCCACGAACACTGTACTGTGTGTTCCGTAACGGCTGTGAAATATAAGACCTTCAGATGGTATAGATCAAAGGCTGCAAACCACACTGTATGTGCTAGGAATACCACAGAAAAACCCAGTGTGCAGTTTATTTCCTGGGGAATCACCAGGGTTGTGGCACTTATGTCCCTCGGGGCATAAGCCCCCGTCTAGAGCCCTATGGCTGGTCTTCCTGTTTTTCAATTTGAAGTGCGTTTAGATTACTCACATTGACAAGAATACAGCAGAAACTTTCAACAAGCAAAAAGCATGTTAGGCTTTTGGCAGTAATTTAGGATTTTAAGACATGGTCATGACCTTCAGAGGTTACTGTCTTTTTTATTTTTTCTTTTTGGAAATGTAATTTTCGTAAGCAAAAGATGAGAGCAGTAAGAGATGTTATGATTTAGTTCATTTTTTAAAATTAAGCCTGAAGAACAATTTTACTTGATTTGCCAAATTATCAACAACAAGAAAAAGCTGCACAGTCTTACATCTAAAACTGTATAAAGGACGCCAATCTCAACCAAAAACCACCTTCTAAAGAGACCTTCAAAGTTACCACCCTCCTATCAAGAAGGTAGAGACAGGGAGAGGGTATAAATGTCTTAACAATGGCAAAAAGCTTGAGTCCACACAGTCTTGGGTCCATCACATCTCCAATCCAGACAGAGCATCCCAGACTGGGCCCCAGGTTCTTTAAAAGTAGAGTTGGGTCACCTGGTGACTGGTGTGGTTGCAGCAGGAGAAACCACAGGGCAGACACAAGCTCCGGTACCACCGTAGCAAAAGTCCGTCCTGCAGAGGTTCTCGACCCAGGGAGATTTTGCCTCCCAGGGCACATTTGGCAAGAATGGAGGGAGATGCTTTCAGCTGTCACAACTGGAGAGGTGCTACTGCATCTACTAGGTAGAGGCCAGGGATGCTGCTAACATCCTATAATGCCTAGGACAGCCCTCCATGACACAGAGTCAGCCCATCCAAACTGTCAATTGTGCCAAGACTGAGAAAGCCTGCCTTGCAGGAACCATGGCCTGGTTACAATCTAGTAAAAGGCACACAAACTGCTAAGGCCTCCTGGCTACCCAGAGGGACCTGGGTCCCCTGCAGCAGCCCTGGCCCAGCAGGCCAAGATGCCCGATTGCTCTCCACTATTAACAAGGAGGTGAAAACCAAGCGCCCAGGCAAAAAACGTCAAGCACTCCAAATACAAACTTAGAGAAGTTTGGTCGGTGGGAATCTTTTTACTACACCCATATTATGCGAAACAATTTTGAATCAACAGTGAAGGGATGTAAGTGACATAAAATAAAATGCTTTCAAAGAAAAAAATGCTTTCACTAAACCAGTCAATTAGGAAAAGAAATGAAGAACTGAGAGCTCCTGGCGTAAGTACCCTCACCATTTAGCTTTTGCTCCTCTGGGAGCTAAAACGCCTCCAGTCTCCAATGCTATACAGAGTCGAAGTGAACCCAGATTTCCAAAGAAGTCGCGAAGAGTGAGCTTGATGATGTAAACCCACTTAACATTTTGTGGGTGACTGAAAGAAGAATTTATTAGGACACTCTCCAATGTAAATTGAAGTAATTTACATAAATTTAGCTCTAAATCCAGAAGCAACTTACATAAAAAAAAAAAAAAGTGATGTTTAAAGTGATTTAACAGTCTGTGAAGGACAGGAATTAGCCTTGAGTGGTTACAGGTTAGACACGGCTCACCCAGCGATCTGTGTGAACCCCAGTACACAGGCCACTGGCCCATTTATGGTAAGAACTGGGAATTCCAGCGCCACAAGAATTTGACAAAATTCAGTAAGACTCACTCACCAGGTAGAGGGATTGAGTCATTGCGACCACTTTGCTCATCTCCTGCAAACTGGGGAAATGCGTGTCTCTTCATAGAGACCTTGTCATCAAAGATGTGACTGCAGGGACTGTGCATCTTCAGGAACTGTGTACAGTGGGGGCCTCTACAGCCATGCCACCCTACAGTAAGTAAGCCCCCTCTCTAAGTGCTCAGAGCATCCCGGGAGAGGCGGTACTAGAGAAGAAGTGGAGTTTTAGATCGCTCTTTCGGGAAAGTGTTTTAAAATCCCCCCATCAGAGTGATAACAACAATAAAAATTTCCCAACACTCCAACTTCTGCTGCAAAGAGAAGTTACTCAGAAGGCTTACTAGTAACATTTCAGCCGGACTCCCACTGCCCCAAAAAGCAGTCTTCCTGCTATGAATTCAAACAGAGGTCTCTATATTACTACCAAGTTGAACAAACATATTCGTCAAATTCTGTTTCCCAGTTTTCCTATCACTTTATATAGGATATAATTTAAAATTATAACTGTTAAAATTTAACAATTACTCTTGACACTGGTTTGGTTCTTGACATTAGCAAGAGTTTTCTGAGCACTACAGATGAGAGGAAAGAAAGCTCACTTCTGGTTCACTAACTGGAACACCAGTCAAAAGAGAAATCCGAAACGTAAACATGTTATTTGAATTTGAATCATATAATTGTCTTACAATGTACGTGATTTTAAGTTATGCCGATCTTTTGAGGCGAGGCCCAGATGTCTTCTGTGCCCGTGGTCACCCCCACTGGACTTCCAAGGTACCTGCCACGAACCACACCCATTTTCCTGAGGTAGAACACCGTCTCGTGACAGAACCTGATTTCAGGGTCCTTCTGGGCACCGATGTGCCCCTCCCTTTGTCACACTCAGTACTTTGTAGCAAGCTCCTCTGTCCAAAACATCTAACCCACAGAAATAATTCTCTCTTGCCTCCAGTGTATTTCATCGGTTTATGTAACACTCAAATAAATCACATCATTTCAATGGTGAGTACAAATGGCATAAACAGATCCAAACCCAGCATCCCCTTGGTGAGCACACAGCTGGAGAAGTGAGGACAGAGGGTCAGGGATCAACAACAGAGGAGCCTGTTTGCCAGGAGCATCCAGCCCCGCGTGGGCAGCAGTTCCATCATGGGGGCGCACAGTGGTGGTGACTAACCCAGCACCTCGGTGAAGGGGGCTTTCATGATCCCATCAGAAAACCAAAGACTGGTACAAGAGAGTGGTGGCTGGCAGTTGTTGATACCTCCAGATAGGTGATTTCCCTTGGGGTTCCCTTCTGCCAGAAAAGAATGGGGAGCGTAGAGCAAGGGAGAATTCGCCCAGATGACTTCTCAGTGTACAGCCAGCCCTGTGATTCAATCATCGAATGTCAAATGCTTCATGAAGGATAGAGGTTTCTCTGATAGAAAAGCATCCAGAACACAACAGGCCTTGGGCAGAAGAAACCACCTGTCCAGGTGGCCCTGGAGCAGTGCCAACGGGCAGCCAGAACATCTCAGAGGTGAGCCAGAGGGAGTGTCCAAATTGCAAAGGCTTTATGATTCAAGTGCATCTCTTTTCACGGAGGACACTGCAAGAAATCCTCCATCCATTCCTGCAAACACCTCTGTAGAGACGATCCCATCAGAAGGGGATGAGTTCAAGCTCGGAGTCCCTGCAGTTGGTTCTATGCCTGGCTCTGCACCCAGGCTCTCAGGTACCAGGGCCTGCACCCTAGACTTCGGGAATGTTCTAAGAGTCCCTGTACCACCATCTCTGCCACTCTTCTGGGTCTTTCCCAGAGGATGCCCGCAGCACCTCAGAACTGAATAGGTTGAAGGAGTTTCAAAATAAAGACATTTTAAAATGCCAAAGGCATGTGGTGGTCCCAGAGCCTGGGCGAACACGAGGGGCCATCAGAGCTGCTAGTTTCCACGTTGTCACTTGTCATACCTGTTTGCTGGCAGGCAGAGAGCCCTGGAGGTCAATGAATTTGATCCCGCCTATCTTGCATTTACACGCTGCTTTTCAGCCAAAACCCAAGTACCCTCTCCGAGCAGTGTAAGAATCCACCATGTTGCCAGTAACACTTGGCCTAGGGATATGCAAAGGGGGCCGTGTCCAAGACACGGCTGCCTGTGGTTCTAGCAACGCAAGCCCTTGAATAAATGTGTGCCTTTGCCATGGGTGGCAGTACGTATTTCTCTGTAAAAAAAAATAAGTCTGTCATGGAAAAAAAATATCAAAGGGACCAAAGATCCTGAAGCAATTTCATGGAATAAGGGCCTCTGGGACCACAAACAAAAGGTTGTGAAAATCAGCCTGCCTGGGACTGATGCTCAGATAGGGGGCGCCCCAGAGGTTAGGGCTGAGCTGCCATCCTCTGTCTTTGGAGGGGTGTCCATTAGATCTCCAAGTCCTGCATGATTGAAGGAAGGGATCAGGTAGGTCCTTTCTAGCTCTGAAATGCCGGGAGTCAGTGATCTACAATTATGAGAGGAATGGATCTTGAGAACTTCAGAAGAAAGTCTACTTGGAGATAAAAGTTTGGGCGTTCACAGGGCATTTCTCAACCAAATAGCATCCATTCCCATATTGGCAAATCGATTTACAAAGAGCCGAAACAACCATCCTTGGGCAATGGATTGCCCTGCTTCCTAGACACTGAAACCCAAGCATCAAAAGTGATATCTTCCATCAGTGGGAATTTGGAGGTGGTTGACATGACTACAGTTTTCGTTTCCTAAAATGACATTCTTTCCATTTTGATCTGGACCAATTGTGAAATTCTAATTTAAGACCATCTCAGCATGAAACAAAATAACAAGGGATACAAGTTTTAGTTTTCTGTAGTAAAACTTTTCTGGCTA